ATGCTTGCAAAATATTGTAACCCAAAGACGCAATGGAAAACCAACCACCCACCCACGCCAATTACCAAAAACCATCCATGTTTCATCCAACAACAACAATAACATCAGTTGAGGTAAACAAAACAAAGACGAAACTGCCAAAAACGTACGTGGGGCGATGAACGTAAAAAATTGGTGCAACAATAGAGCAAAATGCGCGCATGACCCAATTCTGTGTCCAAAGCAAAAAAGAGGAGACAGAAATGGAATACAACATAGAAACAGAATAAAATGGCAATGTTTTCAACGTTTCGATTCGATTACAATGCAATTTTTCAAGTCGAGAGGGGGTTTTTATTTTGTGGTTTGCTTTGTTTTGTTAGAAATAAAACCCCCCAAGATGAGCAACAAAAGCCACAGAATGACGGAATCATTTTTAGAACAAAGGTGATAAAAATAGGAAGTTCTTTAAGATTTTTTACAAGAAGCTTTGAAACAAGTTTCGCGACAAAAGGGAAATACAAAAAAAAAGACTTCTCTAAGAACACTTAGATGCTGCATCTCTCACCAGCCAGACTCACCTCCATTTCCTGATTGCTTTTGAGGGTGTTTGCTGGCAATGCAATTTTTCCTTATTAGGTCGTCGCCACCACCATCGTTGCTGTCTCTTTCCTAGCCCGTCCATGTGATAACATGTGACGACGACGACGATGATGTTTTCTGATGATGTTTTCGTTTGCAACTCTGTTTTTTGCGGAATCTGTTGTTTCTGTTTTTCTATGCTTTCTTCTCCTGCTTTTGTTTTGGGGGTAATTCTTTTTAGTTACATGCTTTCCATATACTTCCTCCTCCTCCTCTCCCAAACGACATCAAGTGCGAAGTGTGTCATCAGAGTAACGCCTGACTGAGCTAACAATTGGGTTATGTTTGTGTTTTTCGGTTTTTTTTTTGGGGCAAACTATTTTGGTATTGTTTGTGGCAGGGGGTGTAGCGCCCAATCTCTTCTCTCCGAATAATTTTTAGGAAAGGGTTGTTTGTTTTTTTTTTTTGAAAATTTGTAAATGAAAAATATGGAAACATTGTGGCCAGTAACATATAGGGGCAACGATGGGGAATTGAAGTGAAATAAAATATAATTCGAAAAAGGAAAAATATTTCATATTAAAATTTCAATTTCAAAACAAATTTCAAATTTAAAATGAAATCGCTAAATAAAAACCTAATTAAAATTTACGTTGAAAAACTTTGAAACCCTTAACTCTACATTTAAACCGAGAATAAAATATTTAAAAATGAAGCGGTGTCGTGGCTGGGCACGAATGAAAGATCTCGAGGAGTACTTTCCGAATCTGTGGACCTTATAGCCAAAAAGAATTTCTGACTTAGGAATTTTTTGCATTTTCTGAAGAATTATCCCTCAATTTTATGGAAATTGCAGATAAAAGCGTCCACAGAACAGAAACTAAAAATGAAGCGGTGTCGAGGCTGGGCACAAATGAAAGGTCTCGAGGAGTACTTTCCGAATCTGTGGACCTTATAGTCGAAAAGAATTTCTGACTTAGGAATTTTTTGCATTTTCTGAAGAATTATCGCTCAATTTTATGGAAATTGCAGATAAAAGCGTCCACAGAACAGAAACTAAAAATGAAGCGGTGTCGAGGCTGGGCACAAATGAAAGGTCTCGAGGAGTACTTTCCGAATCTGTGGACCTTATAGTCGAAAAGAATTTCAGACTTAGGAATTTTTTGCATTTCCCTTCGAGAGTTATCGTGTGCACCAGTCAGCCTGACAGACAGACGGACAGACGGACGCACATCGCTTGATCGACTCCAAATGTCTTGAAACGAAATTGGTCCAAAGAGACCTAGGTTTATAACCATTATTTCGATGAGGCACATTTTGGTCGTATCAAATGATATATATACCCTCTCTAGCCACATGCCTGAGGGTATAAAAATCCAAAATCAACATCGGTTCAGATATAGCTATAGCTCCAATATATATTGTTCATCCGATTTGTTATTTTTGTGCTCCGCAGCCGTAATATGCACTCAGTAACAACAATATTTGGGGAAATTGATCAAATAAATCTCAGAAATATCTTTGCCAAATTTTATCGAGATCGGTTCAGATTTGGATATAGCTCCCATATATAGAACTTCGTCCGATTTTCCTTTTATTATGCACCAAACGTCTAATATTTGTCCGTATCAAATGATATATATACCCTCTCTAGCCACATGGCTGAGGGTATAAAAATCCAAAATCAACTCGGACGGACCTCCAAAAACTATTGCCAAAAAAAAAAAAAAAAAAATATAGGCCTTGAAAGCCCTCCCAGAAAATATTAAAAAAAATGAGATTAGCGCTCAGACGGACGCAGACATATACTTAAAATATCAAAGATTCCGGCTCATTTGAACCACAAAAAATTTTTTAAAAATCATTTTTTTTACAAAAACCTTAAAAATTTCAACAAATTTAATCGTTTCTATAAAATTCCCGATACTATCTCAACAATATTTATAGCCTACACCACAGGGGTATTATGTCTTTGTGCATTTGTTTGTAACAGGCAAAAGGAAACGAGATAGACCCATAGTTCCTTTTGATGATCTGCATAGAATCACATTCTGAGTCGATTTATGCATGTCCGTCCGTCCGTCTGTCCATGTATTTTTGTAAACAAAGTACAGTTCGCATTTATTGCCCGATCCAGATGAAATTTTGCACAGATCATTTGTTTGGCCCAAGAACGAACCCTATTGAAATTAGAGATAATCGGTCAAAATTTAGATATAGCTCCCATATATATCTTCGTCCGATTTGCCTTTTATTGTGCACCAAACGTGTAATATCAGTCTGAATAGTATGGAATTTTGCATGTACGATCAGATTGGACCTGAAACTAAGTATGCCAAATTTGATCGAAATCGGATCAGATATAGCTATAGCTCCCATATATATTGTTCATCCGATTTGTTATATTTGTTACCCACAGCCGAAAATATGCACTCCGTAACAACAATATTTTGGGAAATTTATCAAATACAGATCAGAAATATCTTTGCCAAATTTTATCGAGATTGGTTCAGATTTGGATATAGCTCCCATATATAGAACTTCGTCCGATTTACTTTTTATTGTGCACCAAACGTCTAGAATTTGCCGAAATGGGATGTGATTTGGCACTTACGACCGAATTGATTCTAGAAGCTAGTATGTCAAATTTGATGAAGATCGGTTCAGATATAGCTATAGCTCCCATATATACTGTTCATCCGATTTGTTATTTTTGTCCTCCGCAGCCATAATATGCACTCAGTAACAACAATATTTGGGAAAATATATCAAATACAGCTCAGAAATATCTTTGAAATTTTATCAGGATCGGTTCAGATTTGGATATAGCTCCCATATATAAAACTTCGTCCGATTTACCTTTTATTGTGCACCAAACGTCTAATATTTGTCCAAATGGGATGGAATTTGGCACTTACGACCGAATTGAGTCTAGAAGCTGGTATGTCAAATTTGGTGAAAATCGCTTGGGATATAGCTATAGCTCCCATATATACTGTTCATCCGATTTGTTATATTTGTTACCCACAGCCGTAATATGTACTCCGTAACAACGACATTCAGCGATATATATGAAATACAGCTCAGAAATATCTTTGCCAAATTTTATCAGGATCGGTTCAGATTTGGATATAGCTCCCATATATATAACTTCGTCCGATTTACCTTGGATTGTGCATCAAAAGTCTAATATTTGTCCAAATGGCATGGAATTTGGCACTTACGACCGAATTGAGTCTAGAAGCTGGTGTGTAAAATTTGGTGATATAGCTATTGGTTCAGATATAGCTATAGCTCCCATATATACTGCGCATCCGATTCGTTATATTTGTTACCCACAGCCGTAATATGTACTCCGTAACAACGATATTCAGGGAAATATATGAAATACAACTCAGAAATACATTTGCTAAATTTTATCGAGATCGGTTCAGCTATGAATGTAGCTCCCATATATAGAACTTCGTCCGATTTACCTTTTATTGTGCACCAAACGTCTAATATTTGCCGAAATGGGATGGAATTTGGCACTTACGACCGAATTGAGTCTAGAAGCTAGTATGTTAAATTTGATCGATATCGGTTCAGATATAGCTATAGCTCCCATATATATTGTTCTTCCGATTTATTATTTTTGTGCTCCGCAGCAGTAATATGCACTCAGTAACAACAATATTTGGGGAAATATATCAAATACATCTCAGAAATATCTTTGCCAAATTTTAACAGGATCGGTTCAGATTTGGATGTAGCTCCCATATATATCAAATGTCTTCTTTACGGGTTTTTCTCAAAAATTATGCTTTTAAGATTCCAGATGCTCTTAAAATCATCCTTAAAAATTTTTCAATAATAGCTCCAAATGCCCCCATGGAATATTCTTAAAAATCGTATTTAATTAAACCCCATATTCCAAAGAATTTCTTTAAAACTAACTTTGTTTCTCTTTCCCTTTTTTCTTTGCTTTCATTCCATGTTACCTTTGAACTCTGGACATTTTCTTCTTGGTGGATGGATAAATGGATGGATATAATTGCTTGGGCTGTAATTATTGATAATGACGACGACGACGATATAATCCAACGGCACCACCACCTGCACTCTTTCAAACCCAAAACCAAAAAACTGAACAACGTCAACCCCCCCGAAACAACAATAAAAACCCATTGACCATTTTTTAATGTCGCCCTGCCTGCCATGGCTTTTGTTGTTGTCATGATACTTTGTTTTGGGTTTTCTTTGCTGTCACAATGGTCACAAATGCTGCCGCTTCTGATGATGATGAATTCTCTGAAAACACGCGTACAACTATCTATCTTTCTTTGAACGGTGTGGGGCGGCTATATCTCTTGGCTTGCGTCTCGGTACTTTACGTGCTTTTTTTTTTGTGGGACTTGCATACAACTACTTTGCCGGTGGCTATGACAATCTAAAATTAGGGCAACTAAAGAAGTGAAAAAATAAAAAGAAAATAAAAGAAAACAAACAGAGCAGCAGCAGACAAGCAAGCAAACAGCCAGCCAGCCCGACAGTCAGTCAGCCAGCCAACAAACTGAAACTGAACTAAACTGAATAGAACAAGCCGCCGTGTACTCACTTACAATCACTTCACACAGCTACATAACTTAAATAAGAAAAACAACAACAGCAACAACATTAAAAAAAAAAGAAAACACAGAAAAGCACCGGCAACTGTAATAACAACAACAAAAACAAGACCACCATCTCTCAGTGTCATTTTCTTGACGTTTCGGTCCCAAATAACCCATTTTTGCTTGTTTTTAATAATAGCCAAATAAATTAGAACAACACAACAAACAAAGAGAAACGGAGGAATAACAAGAAAACAGACAAAGGCAAAGAAGAAGAAATAATTTAATTGAAACTAAAAACAGAAAATTAATTATTACTGGGTTCCTTGGAACCAAAAACACCAACCAACCATCCTTTCTTACAACAACACAATTTAAAAGACAACAAAAATGGACTCATTAAAGCTAACAAAAGGTAAGGAGAACCGATAAATAAATCTCTCTTTTTCCAAAGACCAACAACTAACCAAATTTTCTTTCCACTTCAATTTCCTTCAGGTTCATCCTCAACGAACTCATCATCTGCCAATAATGCCGCCGTTGCTGCCTCCTCCTCATCCGCCGCCACATCATCAACATCCTCATCAGCCACCAGCACAAATAAATCATCATCGGCGGCGAGTAGCTCCAACAACAGCAGCAGCACCAGCACCAATACCACAGTTCCCATAACGGTGCGTTTCAATGCCGGCGATGAGTGCATCGATGATCTGTTCCAATCGTTTCACAGTTCAAATGCTTCCGTGGGTGGTGGCGGCGGTGGTTCGAATACAAATCTTTCGGCCACCGGTGGAGGTGGTGGTGGTGGGGGCGGTATTGATTCATTGTCCACAAGTCCTTCACAGCAACAACAACATCATCCAGCTTCCTTGAATAATGTGAGTATGAATGTAAATTTAAGTTTCGTGGGTAAATGTTGGAGGAAGAGGATTGGGAGAAGGGTTTAGATTTACATATGTAAAATGTAAATAAACTTCTAAACGGGTTTCGATTAATTTAAGAACTGAGAACTGTATTTTATCCTTAAAAAAAAAAATAAAAATTTCCAAGAGGTCTTCTTCCAATCTAAGATATACGAAAGAAAAGCTCCATTCCAAATGTGATTTTATTAATTTTGGATTTAACCCCAAAAAATCAAGAACATCAAGAAAATCGTTCTTCTTTTGCATTCAATTTCATGTCGCCATGCAGAAACTGCTCATGAATTTCAATGGCCATAGAAGGTCTTCTATTTATAGGAGACTGGGGAAAGGTACTTTATCCGTAGAAAACCTTAAGATCTTTCACCCAGAAAAGTTTTCCGAGAGGTCGTCTACCTTTAAAAGCGATCGAGGGCCTGCTTCTGTATGGCGTTACGAAAGTTAATGTGAAAGAAAACACATTTCCAAATATCTTTTTAAAAAAATTTGGATTGGAGTCGTTTAAAAAGACATAATTCTTTCGCATTCATTTTGGTAGACATGGACGTACACAGTAATACATTTCTAAACCATTTCGTGGGGAGTCCCAAATAGAGAAGATGCTATGAGTGTCTTACAGCAATGGACTATCACAAAAAGTCTTTAACAACCTCAGAAATGATCTACGATTTTATATTGGGTTTTCTGGCTGGTCTTCCGTCTAAAACCCATACTGGATTTCTAATCATTAATAACTTTTGTACGGCTTTCTAGCTATAAAATTCATCTACTTAAACTATTGTTTCAGCAAAATGTTTTTTTTTTTAGAAAAAAAAATCCGAAATGGGTTTTAATCATAAATGACCTTGAGGGAAATTAAAGCCACAAAAAAACAGTAGAACTACAGTATGTTTTTTTACTCTTTTTAAACCCTACACCACATAGGGGTAAGGATATTATGTCTTTGTGCATTTGTTTTAACATGGAAAAGGAAGCGAGATAGACCCATAGTTACTTTTGAGGATCTTCATAGAATCACTTTCTGAGTCGATTTATGCATGTCAGTCCGTCTATCCATGTATTCTTGTTAACAAAATGCAGGTTTATTATCCGATTGAGATGAAATTTTCCAAACAATATTTGTTTGGCCCTATTGAAATTGGTGATCATCGGAACAGATTTAGATATAGCTTCCATATATCTTAACTTTTTCATGTAAAATTTTTTATCATTTTTAGTAAAACTCCTGTAAATTTTTTACCCTAGGGGTTTAGTAGGAACACAAAACAGTTATTCTAGCTAGATAAAATCACACAGATTTAATTTATTCTTAGAAGATTTAAAAAAAACCTTCGAGCATTAGAATACCTCAGAATGGGTTATCCAGCTTATGAAGCTATTAATGATTAATGAAATGGTTTAATGGTTAAAGAAAGCATCAGTAGATGGGGTTTAGCCATATAAGGCTTCAAAAGGACCTTCAAATTGTAGAAGACCTCAGGAGGGTTTAGAAAAAATCTGTGAGATTTCTTCAAACTTTTTATAAGTCTTCCAGCCCATAGGAGACCTCAGAATGATCTTCAGATTGTAAAATAATTCAGGTGGTATTTTTTAAGACTTTAGAAACGTCTTGGTAATTGTGAATACTAAAGGGCCTTCTAACAATGGAAATCTACGGGATATCACATAAAGTTGCACCCAAGGTTTTACCTTCTGGCTGACTGACAAACGTCTAAAGCCTTACCAAAGGGTTTTTTTTTGGAATGGAGGTCCTTAGAAGAAGGTTTTGATACATAGAATGACCTACCAGTAATATTCTTAAAACTATTCTTATAAAACTAGAGCTAAATACACAAGGCACGTAACGCAAAGTAACCTAAATAGAGGGAGCGTGTTCCCCCTATTTCCACACTTTTGGAAACATTCGGTTTAAGATTCCTTGGAATACGTTAAGATTTGGTATACAGGGTGAGATAAAAAACTGCAACAAAATCAAACGCTATAATTTTTAAAATTTTTTAAATGTCGGAAATAGCATCAACGTTTAGAATAAGTTTAGATTTATTCGAATTGGTCACCTTTGGCACGAATTATGGCCTTCAAACGGCCAATGAAACCGCCACATGCTGTCCGAATGTTGCTCTGCGGAATTATGGCCCATTCCCGGCGAAGCGCTTGTTTAAGGTGATCGACATTTTGGAATTTTTTAGTTCACCAGTTTCGGCCAAGCAAAGCAATTCTTTAGCTCTTTTGAGTCTATTTTCTTTCGGTTGCGGTATAAGTTCTTGCACTTTTTCGGAATTTCAACGGCTTTACCCGAGCTCATTTTTCAAAATTTGTCGAATGGAATATTGCGATATGTTAAGCTCACCAGCCATTTTTCGGCCACTGTGACGCGGGTTTCGATCAAGTCGTTTCTTTACTTTTGGAACCATTTCTGCTTATGTTGCTGTTTTCTTCCGTCCACTTCCTTGACTTTGGGCTAAGCTAAGAGTATCACGGTAACGAGCAATGTTACGAGACACAAAAGCTTTATTCACATTTCAATGCGGAAGTGCTCTAACGATAGCCACTTGTGGTTTTCCAGGCAAATATAAGAAATCACACTATCACGCTTGAATTCCTTCACGAATAACTTTTTCTCTGGAAAATTCTCCTCAAAATGCTTTTGTACGCTTGTAAACAATATAATGGGCTGTCTCTGGAATAATTTTAACAGCTGCCAGACGAGTGGCTTAGAAATGATAGCAGTCTGATTGCAGTTATTTTCATCTCACCCAAAGAAAAGAAATCTCGTAGTTAAGGCCTATAGTTTCAGATTATTTCGCAACATTTAGCGTAGAGCTTTGATATTTAATAGAGATATTTTGGAATAGATCTAGAATAATTGGTATATATATAAAGAGTCATATCGATCCGGTTTATTTCATTTCATTTCGCTACATTTTGGCATTTGAAGTCATTTGTATAAAAGTTATTTTGTTTTATTTCCCTGATTGTGGCTCCGACAGTCCTTCGAAATATATTCTTAAGATATCCAAATTTAAAGATCTGATGTTCCTGAACAGAAACTCTTAAATAAATCTAATCTTTACTTCTAAAAAGTCCTTCAGAAAATATCCTTTAAAATTCTACTCTTATATCACCGATAGCCCTTCAGAAAATCGTTTAAAAAAGTCTATCTTTGTAGCTCTGATAGTCCCTCAGAAAAAAAATTCAAAAATATTGTTTAAAAATTATTTTAATCATAGCTCTGATAGTTCTTTCGAAAAATTATCCTCTAAATGATCACGTTTGTAGCTCCGTTAGTCTTTCGGAAAATTTTACTAAAAACTCAACGTTTTTAGCTTAATTTAGAACATATATTTTCAATATTAAAGATTCTAGCTAAAAATGATGGATGACTCCCGCAATAACACGTTTTATGATTATTTTTATGGAAATTGGAATATAAGTAAAAAACTCAAATTGCCAAGCCATTAAAATTTTTTTATTAATATTTCTTTCTACAGAAAATAAATTCTAAGTTTGTCACGTTTTCTCGTTTTGTTTGTCACAAACAGCTGATTGACTGATAACAAGCTGTCATATGAAATAAGGTGTCATGTGCATAGAAAATGTTGGGAAGATACTAAACAAGTTGGAAATTCTTTTTTATGTAGAAACCCACAAAAGTTTCAATATATCATTTTTATACCCTCCACCATAGTATGGAGGGTTTTATATTAAGTTTCTCATTCCGATTGTAACACCTCGAAATACACATTATAGACCCCACAAAGTATATATATTCTTGATCAGCATAAAATTTTATGTCGATTTAGCGATGTCCGTCCGGGTGTCCGTCTATCTGTCTGTGAAAATTACTCTAGCTTCCGAACGAATTGAAGTAGATTGATACAATTTTACTCAAATGCATATTATTATGTCTGCAGGACTTTTGGTATTGAAAATGGGTGATGTAGGTCCACGTTTTGGTATAGCCCCCATATAATGGTACCTCCCGATATTCGGTATTTTTATGGTTTTAGCGACATTATTCACCGGAAATGTTTCAAATTTGGTATTTGAAGTTCGTAATAGATACTACAGTTTTTGACAGAAAATTATCTGTCCAAGTCCAAGTCTTCGTACAGCGCCCGTATAACGGTACCTCCCGATATTCGGTATTTTAATGATTATAGCGACTCTATTCACCGGAATTGTTTCAAATTTTGTATTTAAAGTTCGTAATGGATACTACAGCCTATGACATAAAATTGTCCGTGCAGGTCCACGCCTTTGTATAGCTCCCATTTTACGGCACTTCCCGATATTCGATATTTTGATGGTTTTAGCGACATTATTCACCGGAATTGTTTCAAATTTGGTATTTGAAGTTCGTAATGGATTCTATAGCCTAAGGCAAAAAATGTCGTAAGCAGGTCCACGTCTTCGTATAGTCTCCATATAACAGTTTTCATTTAAGTGGTGGTTCCCGGAATTTTTTTCCAAATGATGGAGCTGATGGTCCGAACTTAGCTTGTTTTTTACTTGTTCATATTTATTTTTTAATCTTTTTTAAAATTTATTTTTTTTAATTTATTATTTTTCTAAATTTATTTTTTTTTAATAATTTTTTTTTTCAAGTTTTTTAATTTTTTTCAAATTCTATTTTTTTTGTCGGCAAAACAGACGGATTTTTTTTAAATTTCAAAATTTTTTTAATTTTATATTTTTTTCAAATTAATTTTTTTTGAATTTTATTTTTCAATTCTTTTTTTACCTTTATATTTTTAATTTTATTTTTTTATATTTTTTTTTTGTATTTTTTATATTTTTTTTTTCAAGTTTAATCAATTCAAATTTTACTTTTTTCTAAATTGTTTTTAATTTTATTTCTGTCGGCAAAACTGACTGAAACTTTTTATTTTTTTTTTAAATTTCGTAATTTTTTTTAATTTAATTTTTTCAACTTTATTTTTTAATTTTATTATTTC